AATAAATTTAAAAAGTATATTGGTCCAAATTTATCTTTAAGTGGTAGTGCTAAGAAGCGAAAATTGACTATTGATGGAAGAGGTCTTTTTCCTAACTATAAAATAGCAAGAAAAGGAACATTATTTGATTGTATATTGGGAAGATCCAAACGAGCTCGTTGATCGATTGAGATTGCTTATCGCCGAACAAACCGCTTGTAATACTAGTCATATTAATGAAATTCATTTAATCGTTGAATAATTATGTGAAGCTGGCTATATATATTAAGAGAATCCTAAATATTCCTTAGTAATAAAATGAGTGTTGATGTGTTTGGACGTATATTGAATAAAAAGGAGGGTAATCGAGGTCCTCCTGATGTAGATTATAAAATTACTAAAGACGGATAATACGACATGGATAACAAAAGAATTTCTAATATAGCTGATCCTCAGGAGAGTAACGATGCTGTAAACTTACGAATGTTGCAAAAAACTAGTGAAGCTAACGTCGATACGCTTACGACTACAATAAATAATCTTAAAAAATCTTTAAATATAATAAGAATACAATTACGATCGTATGGAGAAGCGATTCAATATTTACAAACAAATAATAATAATGATAATAATAAGGAGAAAGAAATAAGGATTACGTCGTCTGACTTTTCAATCAATTATAACAAATAGATTGAAAAAATGAAACATCAAAGAGTGGTGGATAAGTTACATAAAACCAGCACGTCGTAACTATCCTCATCGAAAAGTCGATATACGAGGAATAGATGAGACGTGACAAGCTGATCTTGTTGAGATGCAAAGCTATTCTAGAGAGAATAATTGTTTTCGCTATCTATTAACTATAGATACATTCTCAAAATATGCTTGGGGAGTTCCAATAAAACAGAAAACTGCTATAGATGTCGTTAATGCAATGGACTCTGTATTAAAAAAGGGGCGCATTCCTAAAAATCTCCAAGTGAATAGAGGCAGAGTTCTATAATGCAAATTTTCAAAGTCTATATTCCACTTATAGCAATTTTAAAGCATCAATTTATGAACGCTTCAATCGAACACTTAAAAATATTATGTGGAAAAAATTCAGTTTAAGAGGAAATTATAAGTGGATTGACTTGCTCCCCGATTTAATAGGATCTTAGAACAATCAAAATATCGCACAATAAATATGAAGCCTAAAGACGTGACTAAAGAAAATGAAATGCAGATCTTGACACTATTCTCTTACGATCATCGTCTTTTCAAAAAACCGAAATTCCAGGTAGGAGATAAAATGCGAGTAAGCAAGTCTAAACACGTTTTTGAAAAAGGATATACACCTAATTGGTCTACAGAAATTTTAACTATTCATCGTATTTCGAGAACTAAATCTGTAACATATCACCTTCTAGATTATCAAGAAAATCCTATTGTTGGTGGTTTTTATGAGCAAGAACTACAGAAAGCTATGTATCCTAATATTTATCTGATAGAACAAATTCTCAGAAGACGGGGTAATGAAGTCTTCGTAAAATGGCTTGGCTTTGATAATACTCACAATTCTTGGATAAATAAGGAGACTATACAACAATGAATTACAAATATAAATTTATATGTATCTAGCTTGTATTTAAATAAATAATTGTTTTCATTTATAAATATTACATTGTTTTTTTTTATTTTAAGGATAAGAGCCCCAACCTTCGCTCTTACCTATGAGGTACTTCCATTATATATATTCGACACTAGTAAGTCCATTAAGACAAGTCGAAACCTGCTTTAATAGAAACACTAACGACTCATTTACCTCTCCAGAAAATAAATTTATCTAATACAATCTTTATTGAGATATAATAAGATATACAAATACATTTACTTAATATTAAATTGAAATCGATCACATCCATGATATTGAATAAATAATGCATATTTTTGTACTCTATCAGAAAGATAAATAAAAAGATCCAAATGATGAATTATCGCTCTTGACATTCGGTCCGGTAGAACAATTTCGAACTCACAGTCGAGTTCAAGAATAATTCGAGATTTATCTTGTCTCATGAATGTTATTAGATAATTCTCATCTTCATGCAATTCATAATGACTTTTTTCAGGAAGTATATTGAAAAGCTTCATTCCAATGTTATTCAACATTTCAAAATTCATCTTGCTGTAGGTAAAGAGATCTAGAATGTTACGTATTCTTCTTCTAATACTACTTCTATTACTACTTCTACTACTGCTCTCACTGCTGTTGGTGTTGATGCTGCTGCTGCTACTATAATAGCTACTACTCGATTCTTGAGACAGAATGAAGCCCTTCGAGGCTCACAGCTCTTTTAAAACCTCTCCCGACTACTTTGGTTTTCGAGCCGTCACAACCGCCGCCCTCTACTTTAAATTAGATTTCCATTTTATTTAACATATATATAGTGTGATGATTTGCTAATATAGGACCAAGCATTCGATTCATCATCAATATACGTTTCTTGAGTAATACTCGTGATATAACTTTATTCAATTCAGCAATACGTCTTTAGAAACGTTCGTGATCTCGTGCTATCTGCTCCCAATTACCTTTTGTAGAGTCTTTTGCTTCGTATGGAAGATGATGTATTTTAACTTTCTTCGCAAACCATACATGATTAGAAGAGGAGTGAGATCTCCTGTCTCTTATAGCTGGCATGGCTAAGCTTCTACTACTTTTTCTTCTTACCACCACCACTGTTTCGAACAGAATGGGCTTCCTAATAACATCTAATCACTATTTTAGAATATAACCCCACTACTTCGCTTTTCGAGCCGTCGAAGACGCCCCCTTCTCTCTTTCTTATTTTTTCAATCCATTGTACAGTAAAAAATTCCATTGTACAATAAAAAAATCAATCAATAATTAATATTACTAGGATATAGTTAGAGAGCTACTCGTATACAAGAAACTTACTTTTAAGAGAAAATCTAGAAGTCGAATAGGAGAACTAGGAACTAGAGCTACCGCTGTTGCTTCAACCTACTGCTGAATAACTGCGACGGATTGAGGTGTGTTCTCCGTTTTGTACCATGCGTCCCCTCTCTGAGAACTCGAGCCGCCGTAATTTCCCTCTCTTTTCGCCTTATCCCCACTTGAGTAATTTCTCATATGATTCCATTGCCCATACTTCTCCGACTTCAGTCGCCATATCTGCCGTTGTCTCCCACTCTACCGTTGTCCCCACTCTCTCACTATTCTATCCTTAGCCTTTTTCTAACTGAGTCTTCTTCCTCCTCACTATTACTACTCTATTCTGAGCGACTTCTATCAGAGGTTGGAGGAAGCTTACAACTTTCTTGAGGATTTTCTTCCATTTCTATGATCTTTCTTTTCCTTCGTTTTTCCGCACTCTTGATTTTAAGCTATGACGTTTCAATAGTTTTGTAATGATCCCATGAAAGTGTATCAGGATTGTTATCGAATGTACAACGTTTATCATCATATGGACTTAGTGCTACTTTCTGCACTCTTTCTGTTCTTACTTGGTGCAATACACTTCGTATATTGCATTGCTCACGCCTAATAATTTCTAAATCCAATAAACAGTTTCGAAAATCTTCATGATCTATTGTTTTTATGACAGTATGTGTTTTTACGCCTTTTGGTTTCTTTATTGCTTGATGGTTTTCTATTAGTATACTATACATTTTACTTCGAAGTCCAATGAATTCTCTCATAATATTACCATTGCATTCATCTTTCATAATACCGAGAACTTTTTTATTAACTAACGGCATATTAAACTGATTATTTTCTGAGTAATTTGATGTATCAAATTTATTGATATCTTCTTTCATTATTTCATATATATCAACATCTTGAAATTCATATACGAGGCTATCTGTATCAGTATAAAGTAATTTTGCTTTATGAGGTAGTCTTTCTTTTATGTAGCCATAGTGGAAGTCATATACTAATGTTTTTGAGAGATCTAGCACACAAAGTCCAATATATATTGGTTTTTTAATACTAATAGACGTCCATGATAACTGTATTGCTACTAAATTTTCATCAAAGATTGAACTACTATGAAAGTTGGGTTGGGCGATCCGTGCTTCTGCTCCAGATCTACCACTCCATGCACTAATTAATTTAACGTCTTTTCGTTTCCTTTCATCCTCCATAGTCTTTCCGTATACTGTATTAGTCATGAGTTTATAGAATAACTTTTCAAATTCATTTTTAGTTTGTTTTCTTTTTTCTGTATTCAAATCTACATAAGTTTTAAGACACGGCTTTCGATTAAACTGAAGTGCTCTGTGTATTTGTTTTATTTTGAGTCCGTATTTAACACTAGGCTTACGGGACCCGTCAATTTGACGGATTTCAAACTTTGAAATGAAACACGCAAAAAACCATAGCATTATCTTAACTATTTTGCGTCGTAAATTTATAATTTCATTAAAAGAGTTTATACGCACAATTATTATTTTCCTAAGCTTTATAAATTTTGAAAATTGTATCTTGTATACCTATTTCTACGGAACCCGTCAATTTGACGGGTTAGCTGATTACGTCAACAATCCTTATATATTTGCTTCGCTTGTAAAATTATACCTCCAATAGCAAATATAAGACTGAAAGAAAGGTCTATGACCCCCCGCCCCCCAACTCATAATCTCAATAACGCCTCGATAACGAATTGTGTAGCCCGGGTGTCAAATCCTCGCGTTATTCGAAACTCAAAGCGTGCAGCAGACTAAATGTCGTATCGAAAAGATATTCAGTTCATGTGTTGGTGCAAACATAAACAACACACACAAGGAACTTTCACAGTCTGCGGTAGCCGACGTTAGGCTGCGATATGAATCTGCGATAATCCCTGCTGTCTTCAGTATAGTCGCTGCAGTGACAGTGGTAAGAACATTTTTCGAAGACAGTGTGCAAAAGTTTTGGTTATTGTAGTCACCCGCTTATTGTAAGTTTTTACAATAGGGTAATTGAATTTTGCACGGTATTTTTTACTTTCACCGATCACCCTTTTCTAGCAATCATGAGTAGAAACACGCGATATAATAAGAAATTGACAAAAATTACCAACATCAATGAGGATTGTTCTGAGGTGTCCTACGCAGAAGATCAATATGAATTAGGTGAAAGTGATGATTACAGTAAAGATTCTGAATCCACTGAAACTGCAGAAATGGAAGGATCTTCGGATAGTGAAGAAGAAAACCTCTTCAATATACGTCGTAACAAGAAAAGGAGGCGGATTATTTCTAGTTCTGACACCGAGGATGAGAGGACGAGTATTCCAAGTACATCCAGAGATGTAATGGAAGAAATTGAAATTGTAGTTGACGGGACACGGTGGGTGAGACTGAAAGCAGGGAAAAACTAGGGGTAGGCAGTCCGTTCATACTATATTCAAGGATATCGTAGGGCCTACTGGTTACACAAAAAGAAATATTATGTCGGGTTGTGTAACTAGTGCTTTTGAATTGATAATTGACGCTCACATTATGAAACATATAAAAGACTGCACCGAAACCGAGGCACGTCGAGTTTTGAAGGTCGACTGGAGAATTACAGTTTCCGAATTACGTAGTTTTCTAGCAATACTATATGCCCGGGGCGCGTACGAAGTAAGAGCATTGAAAGTATCTTATCTATGGTCCAAAAAATGGGGACCTTCCTTTTTCCGAGATACAATGACCAGAGATAGATTTATGCAAATTCTAAGATTTATACGCTTTGATAAAAGAATCGAACGATCCGAAAGGTTACAAACCGATAAATTTGCACTCATCTCTGAAGTATGGAACAGATTTATAAGTAACAGCCAGGCTTGTTATAAACCACATCAAAATATCACAGTGGATGAACAACTGTTTCCAACTAAAGCCCGTTGCAGATTTACACAATACATGCCAAATAAGCCGTATAAATTTGGCATTAAGTTTTGGTTAGCGGTTGACGTTAAATCAAAATATATTTTGAATGGTTTCCCTTACTTGGGAAAAGATGACACTCGATGCTCAAATTCGTTGGGCCAGTTTGTAACGTTGAAATTAGCCGAACCGTATTTACATCGAGGAAGAAATATCACGACCGACAATTTTTTTACAAGCATCCCGCTGGCCAAAATATTGCTTGAACTAAAGACAACTTTGGTTGGGACCATCCGCTCGAACAAGAGAGAACTACCAAAACCAGCGAAAGAAACAAAGGACAAAATGCCGTTATTTTCATCAAATTTATATAAATCAGACAACTGCACGCTTACTGTATATAAAAGTAAACCGAAAATAAAAGTTCTTCTTCTAAGCACCAAGCATAGAAATATACAGATAGAAAACAATAGAAAATGTGTTCCAGAAACTATTACATTTTATAATAAAACAAAGTTTGGTGTCGATGTCGCGGACCAGATGGCACGCAAATATAGTGTGAAAGCAGGGTGTTTTCGATGGCCTCTCCAAGTTTTTTATAATATTTTAGATTTGGCAGCGATAAACGCATGGATATTGTACAAAGAGTGTACCGGATCGAAAATATCCAGAAAGGAGTTTATATTTTCTTTAGCCGATGAATTAGCTGGAAAAAACAAGGAGAACGTTCGTCACAGTTCAGACGTTTCAGATCGGTCACCTTCAACATCGGGAGTGCGAAAAAGTTGCCAAGTGGGCTACTGTAATAAAAATAGAAGCAGTAATTGCTGTATGTATTGTAAAAATATCGTATGCGGAAAATGCACAAAAGAAATTCAATACGTATGTAAAAAATGTCTTCGATAAATATGATTATGTAGCCTTTATATTATTGTTATCATTTTCGTAATAACTTAACAAAAAATTTGACTTATTAGTATTTTATTTTTACGTGAAGCCTTATATTGTTAAAGTCAGATTTAGTTTGAATAAATTAATTTTTTTTAAATAAATACGTATTTTCATCCACCCGTCAATTTGACGGATGCTCGTAGCGATAGGTATATAAGAAACGCCCGTAAACCTAGTGTTAATAGCCTGCTTTAGCGCTCTATAATGAATGACATATCGTTTTTTATTACGCAGTGTTGTTAACATTTTTTTTGTCTTGATCCGGGTGGTGTGTTATGTTCAGGACAAAGTGGAAGGTCCTTATGTTCGTCGTGTAGTTCTTTTAGATACTCTAGATCAACTTCTAAAATATATCCAACCTCATTATTATCGGAAACATTGAAAAAATGAGGCTCATCGATGTTAGAGACCCACTTAAAATTTTTATATGGTAATGATTGCGTCATCGCCCATCCATATAAATTGTTAACATCAAAGTACATCAAAGTCTTGCTAGGTTCTTTTTCATTATATTCTGAGCCCATATATCGATTATTAGCTTTTCAATATCTATTACAGCATTGACTAATACCTCCTCGAATACCTTTTTGGATAAATAAAACCATGTCTATATCAGTTAAAAGTTCTAGCTCAATTTTTGTACACTTTAACATAGCATCCCATGTTAATCCAGGAGTAATAGAATAGTGTGCTGGGTCGAGTTGATACGCATCCATACAAGTTTTACGAAAATTTTCAAAAATATCGGCTAATAGTAATACGTCAGTTTTTGAATATAAATCAGAATACTGTCCTAAATCAATGATGTCAAATGCATTCCACACTTTTTTAGCATGCTCATAGTCAGCTTCAGAGATGTTGCTATCTATCAATTAACTATGAAAATCTTCGATAGGTGGTAATTGAGTCTGTTTGAATCTTTCAAAACTGTTAACATACTCATATGGAAAAACGCCTTTTCTCTTCAATAATTCTATTTGTGTTTTTGTATATTTATCTATCTTGAATTCATGCTCTACGATATTTAGTTTGGTTAAGTATGAAGCCAGTTTTTGGAGAGATGATGGCATAAAACGAAACGAATCAATAAATCGAAAATTTATAGTACTACCGTCAACATGTTTTGTAAAAGTTATATATCTTTCCTTGTTTTCAGCTAAAACAGTCAAATTTCCCTCAAGATTAGAGCTAGTAGCTATTTTTTTTATTATAAAATGAGAATCATATCTAGTAAGGTTATGGAAGACGACTGGTATAAAATAAGGATTCTTATAATTTAAATTACAGGATGCGTGAGTAGCACCTCTAAATCGGCCCGTCAAATGACCATGATCTCTAACTCTTGTTTCATCACGTTAAAAATATTTTCTACAAATATGACACACTTTGCTCATCTTGAAATCCATTTGATTACTCCATGAAAGATTCATTTCTATTGCATTCTTATATATTTGATCCATTTCATCTAACAAAATCTAAAATTGTTTGATAATCCATTGTGCGGGTGATTGTTCTTCATTCAGTTTTTTTCTATACATCTGAAAGACTGATTTGGAATCATCATAACTACATTTTATATAAAGCCCCACACTAAAGGCTTCATGATCTTGGAAGGATCGTCCATTATTTACTGGTTTCAATAAGCACTCTAAATCAGCATAGGTAATAAACGGAACCATTTCTTTTCGATCATAATGATTAAATTTCAGAAGAGGAAAATTAGGTAGATTAACTCTATATTTATTTAATTTTGAACAATCTGTCTCATGAATATTCAATTTTTCTTTATTATTAAAATAGTGGAGACAGCGTTCACATAGATAAATTTGTGCAGTATGTTTCGTTACTTGACTTCTAACAAGAGCAGATAAGTTTTTAATCCATGCATAGTGGAATTTTAATTTGAAATTATCATTGTTATTTGATCTATTAGATTTTTCTGTTTCATTCTGATCAATATAATCGCTTTGTAGTAACAAAAGATTTACATGCTTATCTTGTTTGGAAGTTGATATATAATATGGTGAGACTTCGAATTTAAAACCGTATTTTTTTAGTATGTATAGATTTATTGAAATACTATTTAATTTTTCAAATTTAGGAATATTCTTTATCTCAACAGGAAAGTTTATATCATCGAATTTCAATTCATTCGCAAAGGGCATATAATTTTGAACTCTTTCGCTATGGAATCTAGCTGGATGAAGACAGGCAAGCACAGCCCTTTTAAAACATTCATTATCTGTATTTTGAACGTTGATAAATGCTTTTTTATCTGCTATTTGTTTTGGTAGTTGAATATATGAGCCAGGTTTGAAAGGATTAAATTTATCTATATTAACAGTAATACTGATGATAGTTTTTAATGTCCAACCGGAATCTTTTTCTTGAAATTCTTCTTCCATAATTTAAGATCTGTCGTTCTATAAATAGAAACATTTTCGGTGTTGAAATACTTTACTTGAATGTCTTCTACATTATCTTTTATTATGGTAAATTGAGCTGACATTTCTATCTTTATTCTTAGAGCATTATGAATTGAAAGATATTTTGGTATTTGTAATTGTAATAGTTTATTTGCTGCTTTGAAGAATGACTTTATATCTGTATGTTCTTGATTGGCTATGAATACAATAATGATACGTTTTTCAAATGCTGAATTTATTTCACGCCAAATAACTCCGTCCCCTTCAATTTGGTTTGGAATGACTCGTAATGAATTAACATTTCCTCCGACTTTTATGAAATTATTTAAATTGATTTCGATTGAATTCAAATGAGTAGCGCATGTTTGACATCTCTGTCGTATTGCTCTGCTTAAGTTAGGCCATAACATATATTCTTCAAGAGAATTCAAAGCGGTAATTATTATATTTTTCCATCTAATAAACTCATCCTTATTAGCGTCTGAGTTGTAATAGACTTTCCATAAAACGCGTACTGTATTTTCAAAATAAGAACTAGAAGCCATTGTAATGAAAATGCGCGTAGGATAACTAGTAATACTACTACTACTACTACTAGTACTACTACTGCTACTACTACTGCTTGTCACTACTAAGAAAGCTAAATAGCTATATAATATGGATCCTAACTTAGAGAAAAAGAATTGCGCGATTAAATATAAAATTGCTCAATTTGTTGGCAATACGGACAAGAGTGAAGTTCGCGCAGTTCCCGTAAATTAGATAATTGAAAAAGACAATATAAGCGAAAAAGAGGAAGTGCGCCACTACTGCTATTGGCCCAAAGTCACTTATGAATTCCAATTGAAAAAACTAGTTAAAGAAGCTAAGGACTTCAACCCTCAGTGACCCACCTACGATATCATTACTTGGTCACAAGCTTATAAGCTCTTGTAACTAGATTTATTGATTAATTAATTTTTTTCCACTGTGATTTTATTAGTTGACGATTAATTGACACTTCTGAACACTGAATTATTCTCTAAAGCAAAGTAGTAACAAAACCACGGAAATATCATTTAATGTTGAAATTCAAAGAATACAACCTTAAGACAAAAGAATGCCGCGGTCGAGTTCCGTTTTTGCTACGCCAA